GATTCTTTCAAAAAAAGTTGTGACCTATGGAGTTCAGAAACGAATGCCCCGAAAACGCATCATGGTTTTTGCAACATTTTTGTTCCGAACAGCCTGCGCGCGCGCCCATGCGAACTGTAAAGAAAACCATCGGTTTTTCAAAATTGGCATCAAATTCTACCAAGTGGGCCTCATTGTGCCGCATGTCGAATTCACTCGAACGCCTTTTGCGCGCGTGCTGGGGGGCACGGTCCGTGTCAAATGATGCCACGCGGGCCACCCGCGCGCGTCGGCCGCGCGCGCATGTCGAACTCCTTCCAAACCCTTTTCATCACCGACGCGAGGACATCGTTATTGGCCTTGCCGTCGTCATCGCCACCATCGTCACCACCACCGCTACTGTCATCATCGTGTCAACCGCTGTCGGCGTCGCCATGATTCCTCGCCCGCCCAAGTCGCCGACTCGCATTGAAGTGCCCGTTGAGAAGCGCCCAGCGGTCAACGCCGCGTCGGTCGCGCCAAAGTTATTGGCCGCTTCGCGCGCGAGCATGCGAGGGCGAGCGCGGCCGCAGAGATGCACCAGCCAACGCCAAGCACTCATCGCAATCGTCGCCGTCCCATGGGTTTTGCCAAGCAAGTTGCGGGTGGGTGGGTTGGGTGATTGCGCGAGCAGTGGAGTTGACAACTCACTGCGAGCATTGGTGAACTCATCTTTTGTGTAAAAAGGCAACAAGATCTCCCCCCCCTCCCCCTCCCGGTTGACGGCACGCCTTTTCGTATTACACTGTACATATGTTGTTGCAACTTCGCCTATCCCTCCTTTGAATTCGTACCGTCCCAGCCAGGCTGAGTTCGCCCCCCTTCATTCTTTGCCAAAAAAAGGCTATACGCGCGCACTCGTTCATCATAAACCCTCAGTATTCAAAAACCCTTGCGAAAGAAGCAAACACCAAAAAATGCGCTCGCAGTCGTGAGAACTCTTGAGAGAACCGTCGGTTTTTCGACATGTTCATCAAATTCTGCCAAGCGTGCCTTTGGCGCCGCATGTCGAACTCATTCGAACGCCCTTGCGCGCGTGCTACAGCCATCTTGGCCGATAGCTGACCATTTCGAAGGTCATCTTAAGCTATTTGGAACCATCTGGGGGACATCTTGGACCCTGTTGGACCCTCTAACGACCCAGGGGTGAAGACTCCAGGCCTAAGGAGGGGGAGAAGCAATCATCCCCCCGATGGGGAAGGAAGAGTGAGGTTGGAAGAACTAGTTTGCTAAACCACTTACGCCCCAAGGACTGGTGGGATCCATTGTGTTTCAACAATTTGACCCTATTGGGCCGGCCCCCAGGGCCTTGACCGTTTTGGAAGCCTCTTGTGCCTGTCTGTGGCCGTCTTGGGGGCTTTGTGTGGTTTCAGGCACACTCGTGGGCCTTGCCCCGGAAATTCCGGGAATCGGAGGATTGGAGGCGAGTGGGCGTCCGCGGGTGCGTGCGCGTGCGCGTGCGCGTGCGTGTGTGGGCGTGCGTGGCTTCGGCTTGCAATTGACATATATGTTATCAGACCGTGGTGCGTCAGCGTGTTATCCAAACTTGCTGGTCCGGCAGCCGTTACAGTTCTTTTCGCGTTTCATTGTCTAACATCGTGTTTCGTTGATTCAGTAGCCGCCAGTTCGCACCAGAATGCTCGTGTTTCAGTTCACTTCGAGTTGAGTTGCGTCCTCGGTTTTGTGGCCGATGCACGTGCGCTTGGATTTACAGTTCCCCACCACACCACCCATCCTGCGCTCGAAAGTGTGCGAAGCTTTACACACTGTGCCTTCGACAACGTTCGATCGCAATCACCGCTTCCATCTGCTTTTCGCGCCTAAAGGACCCTCTGCGCCGCCAACTCAATAAGTGTGAGCGTGCGCGTGCGCGCGTGTGCGCGTGTCCGTGTGCGCGCGCACGAGAAGGATGGAGTCCAGAGAAAGGACCGAAGAAGAAAAACGTTCAAGAATAGCGAGATGAGGGAAGAACCAGGACATGTCCCAAAAATTGCTCGTTGGAATCCCAGTAGCACCAAGAATTCACGGATCATACAGAGGGGTAGGTTGGCCAGCGGGCCAAAGTTTCCCCGGTGAGGATGGGGCTGCATACATTTCCCCCCCCACATCAGGAGGAGGAAAAGGACGAGGATAAGGACGTGGGGGACGGAGGGAGGAGGGAGGACGAGGGGGCGGAGGAGGACGAGGACGAGGACCAGTGTAAACCCAGATGCATCAACGATGTTGCAATGAACCCTCCCTCCAAGTTCACAATTCGTCAGTCCATACAAGAATGTTTGAAAATTGCGGGAAGTGGCCCATGATAAGAAGATGGTCTGGGAATCTTCAATGGTGCCAACACAGCGTTTCCAAATCCACCAAAACACCATTCTTGGGACTTCAACACCGCGAATCAACGTGACTGTTGCGTCCTGACGCTGCCAAATCGTGCCAGGGCACCATTCCTAGGACCTCAGCGCCGCGAATAAACGTGACTGTGGCGTATTGGAAATTTCAAACCGTGCCAGAACACCATCCGTGGGACTTCAGCACCCTGAGAATCCTAAGCTTGGCTACTGCTTCCTGACATTCCTGAATATGAGACTTCCCAGCCCTGCCAATACACCATCCCCAGGAGTTCAGTGCCGCGAATAAACGTGACTGCTGCGTCCTGGCAACCTCGAATCGTGATAGAACGCCGCTCCCGGGACGTCAACACATCGAGTCAACATGATTGTTGCTTCTTGACAATCCAAAATCGCACCAGAACACCATTCCTGAAATTTCAGCCAAACAGATCTTTGAAATTGCTGCACACATTTGAGACCAATGTGTGCGGCGCAAGGGCGAGGGCCACATTTGGGAAAGGAACCGCCGTCCATGCTTGAAACGGTTGCACATGTTCAAAAAGAATGCGCGCGGCGCTGGAACGATAATCACATTTGGAAAAGGAGTTGCCCTTCATCATCCTTGAAGCTGTTGCACGCGTTTCAGACCAATGCGCGCGGCGCTAAGAAGAGAGCCACATATTGAAAAGGAACCGCCTTCCATGATTGAGAGGCGCGAAGGCGAGAGCGCACATGGTGACAACGGCCCGCCTCCATCCTTGAAACGGCTGCAAAAGTTTAGGACGAATGTTCGCTACGCAACGGCGAGAGCCACACTTTGAAAATCATCAGCGCTCCGTCCGTGAAATTATTGCGAACTGTTAAGATTAATGTGGGCGGCGCTGAAACGAAAGCCACGTGACCCGCCCTCCATCCATGAAGCTGCTGCTAGTTTTGATGACGAATGCGTGCAGCGCTGTGGCGATCGCCACATGTTGACAAGCAGCCGCCCTTCATCCTTGAAACTGCTGCGAAAGTCAAGCTTCAGGGTCACAAATGCGGAGGAAGTCTCAGGCGAAACGCCTGGCCCGCCCTACCGACACGTCAGGGAGCGCGACAGGGAGAAGATATATGGAATAAGAAAGGGGCTGAAGAGAAGGAAGAGGAGGAGGAGGAGGAAGGACAAGGAGGAGGAGGAGGAGGACCAGTGTAAGCCCAAGAAGCACCAACGATGTTGCAATAAACTCTCCATTCAAGTTCCCTCTTCATAGGTCCCTAAAGAATGCTCAGGTGTGGCAAGTAGCCACGAAGACAGCTGCTTGACAATCCTCAATCGTGCCAACACACCGTTCCTTGGACTTCAGCACCGCGGATCAACGTGACCGTTGCGTCCTGATATTTTCAAACCGTGCTAAAACGCCGTTCCTGGGACTTCAACACATCGTATCAACGTGACTGTCGCGGCCTAACAATACAAAATCGTGCCAGAACGCGGGTCTTGGGATTTTAACCATGCGAATCCTTGAAATTGCTGTCAAGTTTTGAGACGAATGTGCACGGCGCTAAAGCGTTAGCCACATCTTGAAAAGGAACCGGCTTCTGCCCGTGAAATTGATGCTTTTGTGAAAGACGAAGGTGCGCGGCCTTAGGGCGAGAGCCGCATAATGAAAACGATTCGCCTCGATCCTTGAAATTGTTGCGAGCATTTCAGACGAATGCGCGCGGCGATGAGGCGAGAGCCACATGTTGACAACCAGCCGCCCTCCATTTTTAAAATTGCTGCAGAGTTGAAAGGCGAATGTGTGCGGCGCATAGGCGAGAGCCACACTTTGAAAAAGACGCGCTCTCCCTCCGTGAAGCTGTTGCATTTTGTTCAGGCGAATGCGCGCTGCGCCAAGGCGAGAGCCACTGTTTGAAAAGTAGCCACCCACTGTGTTGCACACTTGTTAGGCGAATGTGCGCGGCGCAGAGGCGAGAGCGACATTTTCAAAACGACGCGCCCTTCATCCGTAAAATTGCTGCAAACTTTTAAAATGAATGCGTGCGGCGCGAAGGCGAGAGCCACGCTTTGAAAACCACCCGCCCTCCATCTTTGAAACTGCTGCAAATGTTGAAGACGAGTGTGCGCGGCGCCAAGGCGAGAGCCACGTTTTGCAACGAAACGCCCGGCCCGTCCTATCGACACGTCTGGGAGGGCGACAAGGAGGATGTAGTTATAAGGAAAGGCATTGAAGAGGAGGAGGAGAGGAGGAAGAAGAAAGGGAGGACAAGGAGGAGGAGGAGGAGGAGGGGGAAGAGGGAGGAGGCGGACGAGGAGGAGGAGGAGGAGGAGGGAAGAGAGGGGAGGAGAAGGAGGAGGAGAACGACGAGGACGAGGTGGGGGCCCCTCAAATCGCGGCGTTCTGTCCACGCCGCTTCTGCTGCACGCCCGAGCGTCCATTGGCCAGCTGGCCCTCTCATCCGTCCTTCTCCTCCCCCATGCGTGCCCTTTCCTCCTTCCCCCTTCTCTCTTTCTCCCCCCCTCTCCCTTCTTATTATCATCCTTTCCCCCACCTCCCTCTCCCTCTCCTGCTCTCCCTCGCCTTCCCTCCTCCCTCCCTCCCCCCCTCCTCCCTCTCCCCCCGTCTTCCTCCCCTCATATCCTTGTCCCTCCCCCTCTCCTCCACCACTCCTCAGGAGGTCGAGCACGTGGCCGTCCTGTCGGACGGGAGCCTGTCCCTTCTGCAGTGAGCTTCGCGCATGGCCTGCCTCGTCTTCGGCAGCCCGCACGGAAGTGGCAGGAGAGCCAAGGGCGCCCTCGAGGGCGCGAAGCTATTCGCGCTTCGCGAGTCGGCTCCGATTCCTCATCCTCCTCCTTGTCTCCCCTGGGAGGCGGCGTGAGAGCGCGAAGTTATTCGCACTTCGCGCTTCGCGCAGCGCGAAGCGCAAAGTTGGGAGCCCTTGGAGAGCGCAAGCTCTCCCGGACGCCCGGCGGCTCGAGAGCGCCGGGACGGCCGACGTGTTTCCCAAGTTGTTGGGCCCTCCGAGGCCCCGGGAGCCGGGCCCTGGCAGCGTCCAGAAACGGACGATGCGGAGGGCCAGGCCCCCAGAGAACGAGGCGAGGCGTCCTGGAAGGTGGCCAAGATCAGGAGGGAGCAGAAACACACAGACACAATGACTCGTCGATTCGCCAGAAAATAGGGGAAAACATGGGAAGTGGGGGGGAAGACAAATAACTTAGAAAATATAGGAAAATTTGGGGTTCTTGTTATTTGTGCCTATTTATCTGTGTGTCCCAGGGGCCCTTCACACGAGGTCTGAGCGCTCGAGCTGCGAGGGATGGCATCTGAGATGAATGGGTCTTCTCCTTCTTTGTCCTCATGGGGGCCGGTCCCAGGCCCCAGGACCGTCAAGATGAACCAGGCGCGACCCCACTCAGGGGTTTTCTTGTCTTTGAAGGCCCTTCAAAGTAGTTCTGAGCAGAGCAATGCAAAAATTGTTGGACATTGGCTGGCATTATGTCGCATTGTGTTGATTAAATGTGCAGTGTTCGGCGTTGTTTGGCATTGTTTGGAATCGTTGCTTGGTATTGTGTTGCCTTTTGTTGGCATTGTTCGGCAGTGTTTGTCATTGCTTGACATTGTTGTTCATTGATTGGTCTTGCTTGGCAATGCCTGGAATCGTTGTTCGGCAATGCTCGGCATTGCTCGGCATGCCTTGCACTGCTTGGCATTGCTTGGCGTTACTGACACTGGCCCGCATTGCTTGATATTGTTTGGTTGTATCATGCGTTGCGTTGCTTTGTATCGCTTGGCATTGCTTGGTGTTGCTCGGCGTCGCTCAACGATAATTTGGCATGTCTTGGTTTTGCACTGCATTGCCTTGCATTGCTTGGTCTGGCGTTGCTTTCCACTGCTTGGCATCGCTTCACTGCTTGACGTTGCTTGCCATTGCCGGCCACTGCCTGGCACTGTTTGGCACTGCGTGTCATCACGCGGGCTGGGAAGGGCCCCGCACCCACCGATTTCTTCCAGAAGAAACTATGAACACGTTAGGCGAAGCCTAAATGGTAGAAAATATTCTCATTTTCCTCCTCTTCTTCCTCCTCCTCCTCCTCCTCTTCCTTCTCCTTCTCCTCCTCCTCCTCCTCCTCCTCCTCCTCCTCCTCCTCCTCCTCCTCCTCTGGCAAAGGACCCAGCCATATGCAGTTGCGAGTACCGTCGTTGTGAGTATCGCCTTCGGTGGAGTCCCCTAAGGGGCCACGAAACGTGTGAGGAGCGTGCCGAAATGGGCGGGGCGGACGCATGCCGGCTGCGCCACTGGGACATTCGGTGGAGCTCCTTATGGGGCCACGATGCGTGTGGAAGTGTGCCCGAAATCGGCGGGGCGGACGCACGCGGTTTGCGCCACTGGGACCTTTGGTGGAGCTCCCTACGGGGCCACGAAACGTGAGTTGTGTGCGAAAATGGATGGGGCGGACGCATGCGGGCTGCACCATTGGGACCGTCGGCGGAGTTCCCTGTGGGGCCACGAAACGTGTGATGGGCGTGCCAGACATGGGAGGAGCGGACGCATCCAAGCTGCGCCACTGGGACTTTCGGTGGAGTTCCCTATGGGGCCACGAAACGTGTGCATGGTGTGCCGAAATTGCAGGGGTAGACGCATGCGGGCTGCGCCACTGTGACCTTCGGTGGAACCCCTTTAGGGGGCCACGAAGCACGTGAGGGGTGTGCCCGAAATTGGAGGGGCGGACGCATGCGGGCTGAGCCACTTGAACCTTCGATGGAGCTTCTTATGGCGCCGCGAAACGTGTGAGGGGTAGGGCGGACGCATGCGGGCTGCGCCACTAGGACCTTCGGCGATGCTCCTGATGAGCCAGAGGGGTGTGCAAGAATCGTATGATGATGATGATGATGATGATCATGATCATGATCATGATCATGATCATGATCATGATCATGATGATGATGATGATGATGATGATGATGATGATGATGATGGTGGTGGTGGTGGTGGTGGTGGTGATGGTGATGGTGATGGTGATGGTGATGGTGATGGTGATGGTGATGGTGATGATGATATTTGTGCTCCACGGTTATGACCTGACCTCGTCATCCGTTCTCCGCTCTGTAGCGCTTTTTGGTTCAAGACAGGAAGTTTATGGAAGCTCTGCTCCTCAGCTTCTCAGTGTTTCGCGAGCTTGCGTTTCTCCGCACTCTCCTGTGGCCCGCGCCCGTCGAGTGTGTCTACGAGGCACCACCCCCAGTGACCACCGCCAGCGGGGAGTGCCACCTCTTGGCGGAGTTGGTCGGCCGTGCGAGCCAGTGTGCCTGCCAGTGTGACTGCCACTGCCACACCGAGAGCGTCGAGGGTTTCGGCTTCCTCCGCGTGCTCGGGCTTCTGTCGACCTGTTCGCTCGCGGCCTTTGTGTTCGGGGTGTTGTTTGGTCGCAGCCTGGGGCGCACGAGTTCGAGTCCTTCTTCATCAGTCGACGACACCGTCTTGACACTTACGTGCGAGGATGGCGACACCCGCGGGTTGCAAGGCAGCCTGCCTCGTCGAGTGGGTCTTCGTCTGCTACTTTCAGGGCGCGGGCGGGGCGGCAGTGGGACGGCATGAGCGTGCACTGCCCGGCTACGGCAGCGGCTCTCAGTGGGTCGCGGATTCGCGGGACTTCGATATCTTTGAGGGGCTGCGGCCGGTGTTGGCCAACGGACAGCTGCCAGTTGCTCTGCGTGGGCGGTCACACGTTCTGATCGATCGCTACCAGTTCGGCGCGAGCCGCCAGAACTACATGACGATAGGAGAGGCGCTCACGCGGGGCCTTCGGCCCGCCGCACCTGTGGCGCCAGGCTTCGCTCCCGGAGGCGGTGGCCCAGGCGCGTTCGTCGCTGGGAAGGACTCCGCTCCCTCGGTGGAGAAGTGGTTTGAGGTGGAGGGCCACGTCACCGTGCAGCGGGACGACGCCGTCACGGTCGTTTTCGGGGCGGTCGAGTTCAGCGCCACCGACCGGCGCCGTTTCCAGCGGCGGGACGGCACGGTGCTGTCCGGCGGTCTCGAGGGCACCCTGCTCGTGGCTCCTGGTGTTGCGGGGGGTGACGATTCCCACATTCTGGCCACCACTCGGGCTGGCCAGCGGCAACCCCAGCCCAGCCTTGCGAGCGCCTTGCAGGACCTGCAGCCTGTCGGGTTCGCGGACGACCGGGAGATCGAGAGCCCGCGGCCGACTTGCTTCACGGCGGAGCGGATCCACGACGGGAGCTGCAGCTTCCTCCAGCAGCTCTACGAGTGGCGCTCGGTGATGGGCTCGCTGGCCACCGACGGGGGCATGGACGAGCGCCCGCTGCTGTCACCATTCATCGAGGTTGCGAGGGCGGTGGACCAGGTGCAGATCGGCAACTTGGCGACGCGCGAGCTGGTTAGCCGCCGGCGTCAGATGTGGGAGAGTGCCGACAAGGAGCTACCTCGCGAGGCGGACATCGGCGGCTCGAACGGCGACGACTGGCTGGATGGGCGTTCTTCGTTCTTTGGTGTCAAGAATCTTTGGAGCAACGTCCTCATCATGCTCGAGCTGGAGGATATCGCGGCGAAGGAGTTGCCCTCCCAGACCGCCGTGCTCACGGAGCACCGCCAGTCGAGGGAGGAGGCTTCGCGGGCAAAGGGAGTCGGGGTGGGGCCTGCAGCGGCTGACCACGAGAAGAAGCCCAGGGGTTCCAGCAAGGAGCCAGAGAAGGCCTGACGGCCGGCCTTCCTCCTGTCTTGCGCCGCCGCGAGGGGGAGCGCCCCGCCTCCTCGAGGGCTTTCGCTAGGGGTTCAGGGCGGGCAGGCGGTGCCGCCCTGAGGCGTTTTCAGCTTCGCAGCAGATGAGGCAGCGCGACATCCTGCCGGTCTCCCTGGCAGCCGCCTCGGAGGTCTGCGCGGGGGGTGCCAGCGGGCTGGGCTTGTCCCAGAGTCAACGACGGCGACTTCGGCGTCGGCGGGCTCAGGAGGGGTGGCTGTTCGAGGGCATCCGCGCTCTGAACGAGTTGGGTGCTCCGCAGCCGCCTGCGACCTCGCCTGCCTCGTTGACTTCAGCTCAGGTCTCGGCTGTTCGGCACCTTGCCCGACAATATGGATCTGTCGCGGCTCCCCCGCCTGACTGCGGGGGCGCCCTGGGAGCGTGGCAGTCGCTCCAGGGTTCGCGGCCCGGCTACGCGGACGATGCGATGGCCGTCGGTGCACGTGCGAACTTCGAGCGAGGGAACGCGTCGCTTCCCGCGGGGCTTTCTGGGAGAGTATCTCTCAGTGAGTGCTTGCCGCCTGCCCTGCAGTCCGCGCTTGAAGATCGGTCAATCCTTCTGTCTGAGGAGGGGGCTGCCGCCCGTCGTGACAGTTTTGAGGGCAGCCTTTTCCTTGATCCCGCTTTGCGGGACAACCCTAGACTTTTTGGAGAGTTCGCTTCCGAACTCTGGGATGCTGGCGCTGTGGAAGTCAGCGACGATGTGCTCGAAGAAAGTGACATGTTTTTTGTTCAGAAAAAATCAGGCGCCCTTCGTCTGATTTGGGATACTCGTGCGCCCAACCTTCGGTTCCGCGAGCCCCCATGGTGTGGTCTTGCCCTCCGGCGAGGCCCTTGCTCATCTCGAATGCCAGCCTCATGTCATTCCCGTGCTGCACGGAGGCGACGTCGAAGTTTGCTATTACCAGTTCGCTCTCCCTGAGCAGTACAGGTGTTTTTTTACGGCCTCCCGATCCTTCCCATTGCGCACCTG